AAAGCAATCATCTGTGTTTTTTTAACCACTGAGCAATCTCTCCAGCAGCCCATACAATACACAACTTTTTTTTTTTTTTTTAAGTAGAGTGTCATATAGCCCACATGAGCACTGAGGATTGCCTATTGATCTCTAAGTAGTCAATATGACCTTGAAGTTCTTGTCCTCCTGCTTCTCCCTCCCAAGCCCTCCTAAATAGGCTGCTGCTACGTCCCATTCTACCAGGTGCTAAGGATCAAAGCCCAAGGCTGCGAGTCTCCGAAGCAAGCAGCTCTCTAACAACCAAGTTGTGTTATATAGGCAAGGATACTGTTGAGCAAATCTTCCTTCACCCACCTCTCAAGTACTGGGACTATAGCACACACCATCAGGCAAAAACCTCTTTTTTCAATTTATAGAAGGCAAAGTCCTGTGTTGCTGGGCTGGAGAGATGGCTCAGCAGTTAAGAGCACTGACTGCTCTTCCAGAGGTCCTGAGTTCAATTCCCAGCAACCACATGGTGGCTCACAACCACCTGTAATGGGATCTGATGCCCTCTACTGGTGTGTCTGAAGAGAGCGACAATGTACTCACATATATAAAATAAGTAAATAAATATTAAAAACAAAACAAAAACCCAACCTAAAAAACAAAAACTAGGGCTGGTGAGCCGGCTTAGCATGTAGATGTGCTGTCTCCACGCCTGAATTGAGTTTAGTTCCCGGGACCAATATTCTAGAAGGACAGAACCAACTCTAAAAGCTGTCTTCTGGTTTCAAGTGTATGCTGCCATTGCTTACATACACAAACACCCAAAAATGTAATTAAAAAAAAAAAGTCCTGTGTTGCCTGTAATTTTAAAAAGCATACTTGCTCCTCGCCTGGTGCCGGTAACGGTGGTCTCACCCAGCCCCCACGGCTAGCTTCGCCAAGCCTCTCCAGTGGTTTCTGTTTGCTCCTTGCAGGGTGCTGGCAATGGCGGTCTCACCCAGCTCCCATGATTAGCTTCTCCAAACGTCTAACGACCGCCCCGCACCTGTGCCCCTTCCCCAGCCCACCTGAGTCGCCACGGGTGGAAAACACCATCTTTGTCTCTGTAAAGTACTGTAGCATGTTTGTCCCCTGCAAAGAAGAAGAGAGCTTTGCTGTGTCCCACCCATCTCTTGCTACAGCCCCCCTTGCTACAGCTCATCTCCCGCCTTGCTGGTTCCCATCCTCCACTTGCTGAAGCTCAGCCACACTTGAGATCAGGTTTCACCAGGCTTTCTCAACAGTGGCCTTCTAGAAAAAGGATCCAACTGCTGTTGTTATTACTGTCCCATTTTCTCAATTTGAAACAGTTCTCCACATTAGAAAAAAAGACATACATTTATTTAGCCGTTATTTGTGTGTATATGAACTCCATGGTGTGCGCCACATGAAGCCAAATTTTCTTTTCCAAATATAGGTCTTTCTTTGTTCCAAGTGTTTATTTTTTATTTGGTGTACTTGTGTTTATGGATATGGGCATGCATGTGCCCCAGCATGTGTATGAAGGTCAGAAAGCATCATGGAGAAGTAGACATTCTCCTTCCACCATGTAGCCATAAGGACTGAACTCCAGCAGTCAAATAAGCTGCAGGCACCCTTTCCCACAGAGTCATGTCAAAGCCTTTAATCCCAGCACTCTAAAGGCAGAGGCAGGTCAATCTCTGAGTTTAAGGATAGCCTGATCTACAGAGTGAGTTCCAGGGCTAAAAAGAAAAACCTCTTCTTGGAAAAGAGGAAAGAAAGAAAGAAAGAAAGAAAGAAAGAAAGAAAGAAAGAAAGAAAGAAAGGAAGGAAGGAAGGAAGAAAGAAAGAAAGAAAGAGGAGGTTTTAAAGGAAACTCCTTAAGACTCAGAAAATGGGGATATAGAAAAGATGGGGTGGTTAAGAGGATCCCTGCTCCTCTGGGACCTGAATTCACTTCCCGGCACCCACATTGAGCAGGTCACACTAGCCAATTAACTCCAGTTCCTGGGGGATCTGATGCCCTCTTCTGGCCTCCTCAGGTACCCACACTCGTGTGCATAGACATGCAAATAAATAAACAATTAAAATATTTATTTATCAATACATATTATAATATAAATTTCTATATATTGTATTATATTACATTATATTATATAAATTATATATCATATAATATAAATTATATATCATATAATATAAATTATATATTATATAATATAAATCATATATATCATATAATATATTATATATTTATATATACTATAAATCATATATATATATATATACACACACACACACACACACACTCAGGATGTAAGGAACTCACAAGCTCCAGGAGATATTCGTAGGTTTACAAGTCCCCTCTGTCCCCGAGGTTACATAAGTGGTAAGGACTCTGACCTGTCAAGCTGCCTGCAGATTGTGCAACCAGGACTCTGACATTCATGAACTGCCATCCATGTGGGGTGGACTTTTGGTGACACAGCTGCCTTTGAGTTGTCCCTATTCCTATAAGTGACCCCTCACCCACACTCCTGTAAGTAACACCAGTAAGCTCATCGACTCACCTCACGGAACCTCAGTGGTACTGTTAGCTTGCTCAGTTACCAGTTCCATGGCCGGATAGATAGACGGTTATCACATCTCCCAAGGGATAGTGTCATACAACAACTGTAAAGTGAGGTCAAAGGCAATCTGGCTTCTCAAGACCCTATCTAGAAAATAATGACAAAACAAAAACACAACACAAAACAAACAAACAAAAACCAGGTAAGATGGACTCTACCTGAGAGAGGTTCCAATATTTTCTTTGGGGTGGGGGTCCAAAGAGAAGAACATGGCTATAACTCCATGGGGAGTTCTACTTGGACATGTTAACTTGAACCAACCTAATGAGAGGCCAAGCCTACTCCATCTTGAGACTGGACTCTACCTTAAAAGAAAAAAAAGCTTGAGAACTTGATCTGAGCTGAACCCAAGCTGTGCACAAGTACCAGGAAGGACCCCACGGCTTGTCCTCAGCCCATACCCCAGAGTTACTCCCCAGCTACTTCTCAGCAGCAGTCAATCAAAGGTTAGTCTGATTGTTTCAGATGTACTTCCAGACCGTTTGTGATTGTGCATGGTCTTGCACAGAGCACCCAGCTGTCAGCTTACAATAGTCATTCAATTAGATGCTTGCCAGGCTGGACCCCAGCCCCTCACATGCTCTCATTTTCTGTAAGACCCTATCCCAGTGAGGGTTTGGGGCTGCTTCACCAAACTGTCCTGAGGGTTATCAATGAGGAAGCCCAGACTTGAGTCTGTAATAAAGAGATCCTATGTGACTACATCAGAGTCGGCTCCTGGTTGGTCTTTTTGGGGCTGTCAAACGACAGGCAACACTAAGGGAAGGTGAATGGACAGTCAGCACATGGGGGCGGGGACAGGAAAATCACCACAAGCTTGAGGCTCTTCTGGGCTACAGAGTAAAGTCCACATTGGCTCAAAAGTACAACAAGACCTTATCACACAAAAACATGCCAGTAAGATAATCCCAGCACTTGGGAGGCAGAGGCAGGTGGATTTCTGAGTTTGAGAGTTTGAGGCTAGCCTGGTCTACAGAGTGAGTTCCAGGACAGACAAACCCTGTCTTGAAAAAAAAAAAAAAAAAAAAAAAGACGAGCCTGATCTACAGAGTGAGTTCCAGAACAGCCAGGGCTACACAGAAGAATGCTGGGTCTTCGCTGGAGTTTCTATTGCTGCAACATGAATAATGATCAAAAAGCAAGTTGGGGAGGAAAGGGTTTATTCAGCTTACACTTCCACACTGCTGTTCATCACCAAAGGAAGTCAGGACAGGAACTCACACAGGGCAGGAACCTGAAGGCAGGAGCTGATGCAGAGGCCAAGGAGGAATGCTGCTTACTGGCTTACTCCTCATGGGTTGTTCAGCCTGCTTTCTTATAGAACCCAGGACCACCAGCCAAGGGATGGCCCCACCTACAATGAGTTGGACCCTCCCACATTGATCACTGATTAAGAAAAATGTCTTACAGCAGGGTCTCATGAATCAAGATCCTCACACCTCTGCCTCCCAAGTGCTGGGATTAAAAGTGTGTGTTATGAACACCCAGCAACTATGTCTATCCTACTGGGCTTTTTAATTTAATGTGAGTGTATACGTGTGTTGTCTCTGTGTGTGTTTCTCTTGTGTGTGTGTCTCTTCATGTGTCTCTGTGTGTGTGTGTGCATCTCTTTCAATGGTATGTGTATGTGTGGTGTTTCTCTGTGTGTGTCTCTGTGTGTCTCTCTCTGAGTCTTTGTGTGTGGTATGTATGTGGTGTGTGTGGTATGTGTGTCTGTGTGTGCTGCTGTGTGTGTGTGTCTCTTTTTATCTCTCTGTGGTGTGTGTGAGTATGTGGTGTGTGTGAATGTATGGTGTGTGTGAGTGTGTGGTGTGTGTGTCTGTGTGTACTGTGTGTGTGTGTCTTTTTATCTCTCTCTGTGGTATGTGTGAATGTGTGGTGTGTGTGAGTGTGTGGTGTGTGTGAGTGTGTGGTGTGTGAATGTGTGGTATGTGTGAATGTGTGGTGTGTGTGAGTGTGTGGTGTGTGTGAGTGTGTGGTGTGTGTGAGTGTGTGGTGTGTGTGTCTGTGTGTACTGTGTGTGTGTCTTTTTATCTCTCTCTGTGGTATGTGTGAGTGTGTGGTGTGTGTGTGGTGTGTGTGAGTGTGTGGTGTGTGTGAGTGTGTGGTGTGTGTGAGTGTGTGGTGTGTGTGATGTGTGTGTAGGCACCCCTCTGCCATTGTCCTCACATAGAGGAGGTTGTAGACATAGTTGCACATATCTGAAATCTCAACCCTTGAGACACTGAAACAAGATTGAAAGTTCAAGGCTAGTCTGGGCTACACCCAAAGATCCTTTTTTAAAAAGAATTTAAAAGGAACAGAGAAGTTTGAGAAAACCCAACAGGGTCCACTGGAGTCATGAGTGCCAAGAAAATAAGAGTCAGAAAAGAAATTACCCCAGACAAACGCAGCAAGGAGTTTCTCTCAGTAGCGGTTTTATTTGACTCAGAGTAAGTCTCACACTCTGGCCCACCCCACTGAACATGGGGTCATTCTTGAGCAGATTTGCTGTCCTGGGTATCTTCATCCACCCCTTACAAGGACAGGAAAGCTATGGGTCACATCTACACATCAGGGAGAGGCACAGCCTCTGGATCAGGCTGGCGCTTGGCAGGGAGGGACTGTCCACATGCAGAGCAGGACTGGTTACAGACTAGTGCTAGGCTTGAGGAGAGGCTTAGGTCAGGGTCAGAGCTCTGGCTGAGGGCTCAGTAGCTGTGAATAGAAGACTTGTCCAGTTCACTGTGCTGCTCCTTCTGAGACTCTGTCACCACATGCTGGAGGCAAGGCATACAAGAGACAATCAGCATCACCCTCCCCAAAATCATTCTGTGCCCTGCCTGTCACAGCTTGCCAAGACTACAGTTCATACGCTCTGCTTTTGGTTTTTGTTGTTGTTTTGTTTTTCTTAATGATTTATTTATTTTTATTTTATCTACATTGGTGATTTGACTGCATGTTATGTCTGTGTGGAGGTGTTGGATCCCCTGCAACAGGAGTTAAACACAGTTGTGAGCTGCCGTGTGGGTGCTGGGAACTGAACCCAGGTCCTCTAGAAGAGCAGCTAGTGCTCTTAATCCCTGATCCATCTCTCCAGCCCCCTTGTTTTGTTTTTCTGAGACAGGGTTTCTCTGTGTAGCCTTGGCTATCCTGGAACTCACCCTGTAGACCAGGTTAGCCTCAAACTCAGAGATCTGCCTGCCTCTGCTACCCTAGTGCTGGGACTAAAAATGTGTACCACACCACCTGGCTGTCCACTCATCTATCTGGTGTCCCTCTCTGGCTCAGCAGGTAGAATAACTCGTCACACAAACCTTAATGAGTTTAACCCCTAAAACTCGCTATCTGGTGAACTTCCTAAAAAAAAAATGTACCCTCAATACCCTAGGATCTGAGCCAGCCATATTGGGGCTCAGAAATATTAGAAATGGTGGAGTTCTGGATGAAGCGGTTTGTCTCACCTCTCCATCCCGAGTCTCGATCGTCCTGATCACAACCATCTTCTTGCTGTGGCTATCCTGGAGAGGCTCCACCTCCGGCACTGGAGAAGGCAGGAGAGAGGACATGGCAAAGGTTGGGAATCTGTCCTTTCAGGCTCCCACTCTAAACCTCTGAAGGCCAGGAACCTCAGTACGTGAGGAGGAAGCAGTCTAGGATGACCAAAGCCAGAACAACTGGGGCAGAAGGTATAAAGGAGATGCAGGCTGGAAGGCAGACACGGAGGACTCACCAGTCGTCTTTAAACTTAGGGAGGCAAAAGAATGAACCGGCACTGAGATCCTGCGGGCAAAGCACACAGCCTGGTCATTGCCTTCACCAGGCCCCAATGCCTACCATCCCTGCCCTGTCCTAATAGTCTCACCACTCACCGGCTCTCCTCTCCTTCCAGTAGTTTCCTGTAGGTGGCTATCTCGATGTCCAAGGCCATCTTGACGTTGAGGAGCTCCTGGTACTCTCGCAGGTGCCTCGCCATCTCTTCCTTCAGCTGTCGAAGCTCTTCCTCCAGCCGTGCTGCGCCTGCTTGGTACCCTCCAGCCTCCAGGGCGAACTGCTCCTCCAGCTCCCGCAGCTGTCTGAGCAGCGCCTCGTTCTGGGGTAGGGGAAGAAGATGAGGGCAGTCGGAAGGGTTTTCAGCATCCACCCACTACCCCAGACAGTCTCTCAGTGCTCACCGTGCCACGCAGCCCATCCACCTCGCACGTCAGACTCTGGATCTGACGTCGGGACTCGTTCATCTCCTGCTTGGCCTGGCGTAGGGCCTCATGGTTGCGGTTGGCGGCGTCGGACAGGTCAGCGTACTGAGCAGTAGCAGACAAGCCCGGCTGGGATGCGCGCCGCCATTCCCAGTGTTTCCCACCCCGGGTCCCCCAGGATCCTCCCCTGCTCTCGCACTTTCGACTTATACCACTCCTCTGCCTCCTGCAGATTCTTGGCCGCGATGTTCTCATACTGTGCACGGATGTCCCTGAGCGCCGCGGTCAGCTCTGGCTTCACCGTTGCCTCTACCTCCACCTGCTGCACCTGCTGGCTCTCCACGCTCACCTGCAGGTCTCGAAGCTCCTAAGGACAGGAAAGGCGGGGATTGTGAATAGGGGGGAAAAGCCCCCTTTTTGCATGAACAGAAGGGGGCGCTAGGGAGTGCACCCTCTCTCTGGATTCCGAGACCTGAGCCCAGGCTGCCCTTAAACCGGTTGTCAGGTTCAGGGTGTAGCTACTCCTCTTGCCAACAGGTGGCGCATGGGTGGGAGTCAAAAAACACCTGTAAAGGGTGGGGTTGTCATCACAACGGATCTCTGTGTCTCCGCAGCTCCAGCGAGCCCTCTCTCAAGCCTTCCCACACACCTAGACCACCCACCTCTTCGTGTAGCTTCTTGAGGAACTCAATCTCATCCATCAGAGACTCAATCTTGCGCTCTAGTTCTAAGCGGGACAGCGTGGCGTCGTCCACGTCCTAGAGTAGAAATGGGGGTTCAAAAGTAAGGAGGGCTCCTCAGGAAAAGGAAGGGCCAGGGCTTCCCTGTCTGCCTCCCCTAACCCACCGATGCCACCCTGGAGATGCCGCTGGGGGTGCAGCTGGGGTGCTGGGACTCGACGTGACCCCTCACTCACCTTACGGAAGAGCACCAGGTTGTGCTCCGCATCCTCCCGCTTGCGGGTTTCTTCTTCTAACCTGACAGGCGGAGTGGGGAGATGCTGAGCTGCGGGTTGACACCCCCCCCCCCGACCTCGTGCCGCCCCGCCCCCATTCTGCTTATGCAGGTGTCCTGGATCTAAAGCGAGGGGTTCAGTCTGCTCGTCTAACGGATTGGGAACAGAGAAGGGAGTCCCCTTAATATCTGGTCACTTCCCTTAGGCTCTCGGAGCAAAGTGCTGGGAGAGGGCCAGCTAGGATGCTGCAGGCTCGGCTTGGGGTTGGCCAGCCGGGCCACGCCCTAGAGCTGATGCATCTCGAGGGGAAGGCAGGGGGAGCGGAGAGAGTGTTTGGCAGGCCCGGTCCTGCCCTCTGACCTCTGCTTGAGCGCCGCCAGGTCCTCCGCCAGCCCGTCGCGCTCCACCTGCACCCGGTCGCGCTCCCGGCCCAGCAGCTCGAGTTCGCGCCGCAGCTCGCGCAGCTCCTGCTGGCACAGCTGGTCGGCGCGCGCCGGCTCCTGGCCCCGCGCCTGGCTCAGCTCCCCGCGCAGGGCTGCGTTCTGCTGCTCCAGGAAGCGCACCTTCTCGATGAAGTTGGCGAAGCGGTCGTTGAGCTCCTGTAACTCTTGCTTCTCGTTGCTCCGAGTGGCCAGGAACTCCTGGTTGAGGGCCTCGGCCATGGAGAAGTCGAGGCGCTCCGAGGGCAAGCGCAGGGCCGCCGTTCGAGGGGCACGGAAGCTGCCCAGCCGCGCCGAGGAGCTCGGGGATCCCGAGCCCAGCAGGCGGCTGCTGGAGAAGCGAGAGCTGGACGAGTAGGAGAAAGCCCCGGGGGACAGTGAGGGCGGCGGCCCAAAGGTCCGGCGGTACGAGGTGGAGCTGATGCTGGACCGGAGGCCCGACGAGTGATGGCTCATGCTGGCGGAAGATGGCATTCAGCGCTTGGCAGAACTAGGCCCGGCGGGAAGGAGCTGCAGACCGATGCGGGGCGGCTTTATAGCCCTGCGGTCGTGGGGGGGGGGACTGTGGGGGGCACGACAGCTCCTCCCACTGGCCTGACTTCAGCCTTGGGCTGTGTGGGGAGGGGGATGCCCCACCCTGCAGAATGGTGACACCATCCCTTCCCTCTCCTGGTTGCTGGCGCCTCGCCTGCTCAATTCCCCCTTGTTGCTGGCTGAGATCCGGGATGTGATGGCAGAATGGAGGTGGGCTAATGGTCCAAGGCTTTGAGCATGCATCCAACGCTGGAGCCTAGGGCGGGAGGACATGGTTTGACCTGGGGTGCCCTCTCAGAAGAGGAGGTAAAAATGAAGTTAAAAGGCAACTTTTGGGCAATGAGAAGTGGGGTAGGTGGAGGGAGAGCTAACCTGGTCTAAACCAGGGAGTTTGTGCCTCCTCCCGTCTCCTGAAACTGGGGTTCTTTTTTCACCTGTTGTCAGCTGCCCCCCATCATTGGCCACAACCGCAGGCTGAGACAGAGGGGGCTGGGCAAGGGCTTATCTCTGCTACTCCCCAGGGCACGGTAAAGGGCTGGTGATTGGCGCCAGCTCTGCAGCTAATGGACTGACCAGCTCCCCTCCCCCTGCCCTTGGCCCAGCAGAAGTTGCATGGTGATGTTTCCACCTTAAAGACACAGCCCCCAAACTTGGACGCGTAACACCTGCCCCAAAAAGGGTGGGCACCTCTCAGAGGGTTGAGGGTGTCCGGGGCTCTGAAGGTCAGTGCCGTGCCAGAGGCTAAGCCGAGTGGGCCTGTGGTACACTTTCAGCCTTTACTGGATTCTCTCCCCCTCCACACCATCTGCCGATCAGTCACAGGCCTTACGGGAACCAGAGGAATTCCTGAAGTAGGAAGGGGAGGGGGTTGAGGGGTAGCAGCTGCCAGGGCTGAAAGACATATAGACTAGTAGGCACCAGTCTCCAGTACAGAGGAGGTACAGGTACCCAGTGATGGTTCACATAAAGGGAGCCGAGATGAGAGATGCCCACCCACTACAGCCTGGCCTGTTAGAGAGAAGTCCTCAGACAGGTCCACAAAGAGATTGCCTGCTCCTCACTGAGCCAGCTTGTAGATGCTACGCATATCCATACTGTGCCCCATATACCTGTGTGCACAGACAGACATTACAGGAACTACACCCCTTAATGGCGCCCCCATCCCCAGTTAGCAGAAAGGCTGGTGTCTGGCCTTTGTGTGTCACACAACTTCCAGAATGCAGACATAGGCAGTCCAGGAGTGGACAGAGGCGGTTTGGATACTCTGCAGGAGAAAAGGTGCCGAGGCCCTTTGGGTTTGCTGGGAGCCATGTGTCTGCTGCCACTGGGGACTTGGGGACTCTGAAACGGGATGGGTCTACCTCACTTGGGTCCTGAGAAAAAAACGGGTGTAAAAGAAGCAAGTCTGAGGTTCTAGGCTGGGATAAGGAGGGTGGCTCCCTGCTGGCCAGGTCCTTCATACTGCAGAGCAGAGAACTCCCGCACCTTCTGTGTGTCCTCTGAGATGGGCCAGAGCCAACGCCCAGTGCTGGCTTACATCCCTAGCCTTCTTTTCCTCTCCAGGCTCCTCCTTCCTTCCGGGCTATTAGTCTCTCCCAGCTCAGCTGCCAGGTCCTGCTCCTTGATGGATCTAGTTTGGTTGCTAGGGGGACGAGAAAAGGGCGGGTTGGGAAAGAGGGAACAAGGCAGATAAACCAGAGCCTGCCACACCCCAATTCCTGGAGTGGAGAGGGGTAGCATCCGTCCAATCTGGGCTGGGGTAAGGGGCTGGAAGGTTAGAGGTGAGCTTGTAGAAACCTTGGTGCCTTGACGCTTTCTGCATCAGTCCGGGGCTCTGAGAAATTGCTGCCTTTGGTCTGGAGCTCCACCCAGTCCAGCAAAAGATGAGGCCAGGAGATAAGGCAACCAGAGGACCAGCACGAGCCTTGCATAGGGAGCTGGTGGCAGAACTGTGCCTCTGAGACAGCTGAAGTAGGCACAACTGGAGTGGGGCTGGGTAGAACACGGGAGGTTGCAGATGAAGTTTCTGTCTCCATCTGCCCCTTTTGCTTAAGCCCCCAGCTCACTAGAGAAGAGAGGGGACCAGAAAGCCTCATAGGAGGGCTCTGCTAGTGTGGACTGAGGAAGGACAGCCTGTGTGAGGGACACAGCAAGACAAAGGCAGAGGTTTCTTTCCTAGTGGCGAGAAGCCAGGCTGAGAGCTCTCGGAGGAGAAAGACAGAGGAGAAAGAGTCACAGGTAAGATTGCTGTAGCTGCCGTCGTCCTTCCCCAAAGTACCCCTGCCCCAGAGAACAACCCTCATTGTTGGCCTTTGTTTCCTGTCAGCAAAGCATCGGAGGACTAAATCAGCAGTTCGTAACCTTCCTAAGGCTGTAATCCTTTAACGCAGTTCCTCATGCTGTGGTGACCCCCAACCATAAACTTATCTCAGTGCTACTTCATAAATGTAATTTTGCTACTGTTATGAATGGTAATGTAAATATCTGGTATGTGACCCCTGTGGGGGTTGTGACCCACAGGTTGAAAAACCACTGAACTAAATGAATAAATATATGTACATGCTTAACACATACATTATAAAGGCTGAAAAAGTAACAGGTTTTATTGGTGTGTTTTGTGTTGTTTGTTGTTTTTGCTACTCTCCCGTTGTCAGCCTCCAGGGCAGGGAGAATCTGGGATTTTTTTTCTGGGGGCTGGGGGTGTTCTCACTGGTGGCTTAGAGTAGTGCTGGACCCTAGGTGCAAGAAGCCAAGTACTGGCTGGGCAATGGTGGCACACGCCTTTAATCCCAGCACTTGGGAGACAGAGGCAGGTGGATTTCTGAGTTCCAGGACACCCTGGTCTACAGAGTGAGTTCCAGGCCAGCCAGGACTACACAGAGAAACCCTGTCTAGAAAAACAAACAAACAAACAAACAAACAAAGAAGCCAAGTACCACTCAGCTGATGGCTAGAGCTGAAGGTGGACTTGTCCTTCCTTAGTCTACTGGGACTCGGAGCACAGCTGTTCAACCTAATGAGCGGTATGCTTTGGGCTTTCTTGAAGAGTGTCTTAGTCAGGGTTTCTATTCCTGCACAAACATCTTGACCAAGAAGCAAGTTGAAGAGGAAAGGGTTTATTCAGCTTACACTTCCACATGGCTGTTCATCACCAAAGGAAGTCAGGACTGGAACTCAAGCAGGTCAGGAAGCAGAAGCTGATGCAGAGGCCATGGAGGGATGTTACTTACTGGCTTGCTTCCCCCGGCTTGCTCAGCTTGCTTTCTTATAGAACCCAGGACTACCAGCCTAGGGATGGCACCACCCACAATGGGCCTTCCCACCCTTGATCACTAATTGAGAAAATGCCTTAGAGCTGGATCTCATGGAGGCATTTCCTTAAGGGAGGCTCCTTTCTCTGTGATAACTCCAGCTTGTGTCATGTTGACACACAAAACCAGCCAGTACAAAGAGTCTGCCATATTTTCTTTAACCATCAACAGGAATGCTTTGTTTGTTTGTTTGTTTGTTTGTTTGAGACAAGGTTTCTCTATGTAGCCCTGGCTGTCCTAGAACTCACTCTGTAGACCAGGCTGGCCTCAAACTCAGAAATCCACCTTCTTCTGCCTCTCAAGTGCTGGGATTAAAGGCGTGTGCCACCACCGCCCAGCCGGGAATGCTAATGATAGTGCCTATATCATCATATCATTAGGAGAATCCAATGAGCTATAAAATGTTAGGCACTTAGTGCTTGGCCAGTGCAAGTGCCCTCTGGTCCTGCTCCTGTAGCTGCCCTGCAGGTTTATAGAGAATAGCTGTGTGCTTGCAAGGAGCTGTGAAAAAGGGAGTGCTGACCTGTGTTGTCCCACCAGCATGGGACCCAGTTGGCTATGTGCTGGGGATCCCAAACTGGGTTTGGAGAGGTACTGTGCAGGCTAGTGAGGATGGGAAGAAGGGAGTGAAAGGGTCTGCAGCTGGACTCTGGCAAGGCCGAGGAGGGGGTGGCATGCAGAGGAGAGAGTGTAGTACCTGGGCCTATGATTCGGGAGCTCAGTCTTTATGGATGGTAAGATTCCCAGGATATTTCTGAGGATGTGGGTAGCAGGGGCTAAGGTAGCATAAAGGGACTTGTCCTGGCAGGCGAGGTCAGGTCACCAGGCAGAATACTTAACAGCTGCAGGACCCAAAGTGAATTACTGTCTTCTCAAGATTCTGTTTTCTCCTCCAGAGAACAGAGCTGGTGGCAGTCTCCTGCGAGGCTCACAGTAGGTGCTCAACAAATGTGACCCACAGTGGGTGCTCAACATTGTCACTCACCTCTGCCACAGGACAGAGGGTCAGAAACAGGAGAGCATACTGTATGGAATATGTCTAATTCCTTGTAACCAAGTATTAGCTGGAGGCCCTTCTAGTCCAGGTTCAGGATTGGGGCACACCTTCATGCCATGTCCCCAAGACAGTCAGTGTCCTTAATATTTCTCTGCTAGTCAGGCCCCTTGGCTCACATAGGGAGGAGAGTGCTCAGGAGCTCAAAGTCAACTCAGAAATGTCGTTACCCTCCCCCATGCTTCCTCTCGCCAAGACCCTGAGTGCCTGCTTCCTCTTACACTTGGATCTCAGTGCCACCAACTGTCATGAAAGTCCCTGACTCCCATGGTCTCCTCCTTCCCCAACACTTAGGTAGGACCTGAAGCTCAGAGGGACACAGAATCTGCAGTTGCAGAAGGAGGCTTCTCTGTGCTGGTGGGCACAGGAGGGCCTTACGAGGTCCTGATGGCATTCTAGACTATGGTATCTGGGACCAAGGAGACCTCAAGTAGAAGTGGGGTCTGGGGTCCCGCTTTCAAAGGAGAGTCAGCCTACAGCATTGTCAGCCTACAGCATTCTCACCTACAGAGTTGGTCCAAGAGCAGAATTCTTCCCTCAGTACCTGATTCCTAGTTCTCCTCTCCAGTTAGGGGATACCCTGACTCATCTT